TAATGCTACTCATAATTACGCAGAAAAAGCCAGAAATGTTTAATAAATATTTCTCATCAGAGTTTGGAAAGAACCAAGGAAGATGTGCCAGAATCACCCGATGATGATGCGCTGTTTTCCAGTTCATTAGTAACCGATAGCGGCGAGTAGGAAAAATTGCTTAAAAGAGCCATTCCACAAAACTTACACAAAGTGTCCTCAAAGAGCTAACTGGGGGGACCCTCAGCCAGCTGATATTAAAAGTGCTCTATATATTGATTAATCGGGATTATTATTAAAGTCAGTTACAATGAATTGCTTAGAGATCAAACAAAATTAGGAATTGGCCATAAGAAACCATCCGATCCATCTGCCCGTCCCAGGGCAGGATCAGACCCAGCACCAGCAGCCGTTTGTGGCACAGTCCCGTGGCTTGGTTTGGGATCGGGTAGAGTTTTGGGAGTCAGAAGGAGCCTTAACGAGGCGATGTCTTCAGAACGGTGACTTCTGCAGACTCGGGACACCAACGGAGATGTCGATGTGGCCAAGATCTTCCAGTAGGATGGAGGATATGGAATATAGGAAAGAGCTCCCAGAGCACAAATGTTAATTGATGTTTTTTCATCTTTTCCTTGCTACTTTCTTTTATCTCCAGTCCCACGTATTTGAGGGCCTGTCCTTTCGCAGTCCTTTATCCCAGGGACAAGAAGTGGTTCCGAAGCCACTTGGTTTGGGGCATAATCCCAAAATTCTTGATCCTGCCTCCTGCTGGTCCATGGGGTCATGGGAGGGGTCCTAAATGAACCCTTTGCTCTCCATTTCCATGTCTCACAGTTGTTTTCCTGGCATTGCTCACATAGGTTCCAAATAAATGATTTTTTTTTTGTGGGTTTGTTGTTGTTTCTTTGTTTTGGGGGAAGTGAGCCAGCTCTTGCTGAGCTTGAATTTGGAAAACTGGTTGGAACTTGCTAACTCAAGAACTCTTCCCGTGAATGTAGGTCAAATTATTTTCTATTTTTTCCCCCCTCTCTCTCGGGACTCGGAAGAGGGTTTCAATACTCCAGTTCTCCAAGGAGGAATTGTCTACGGAAAGCAACACCGTGCTTTCGTTTTGTGAGGAGCTATCAACAGCAAGCAGAAGGACTTGAAGGATGCCCGATGCCGTGCGTGAGTCGGGTTTCCTACAGAGCAAAGCCCCTCCAGGGAGATCTGCAGAAACCAGAACCGAAGATGCTCAGCACTTTTTCTGGGTGCTAGGACAAGCACCCAGAAGAGAATTTGCTCAGCTCCCTGTGCACGGAGTGCTGGGATCCCGTTGATTTTATTCCCAGCACATTCTGAACGCGTTATTCAACCAGATTTCACCGCCGCGGCTGGGATACCGGGGGGCGTGCAGCTTTCCACCTCCTGCAGACCTCCCGAAATAGCTCTTCGGGCCTTATCTTCGCAAGGCATTCGCCTTTGGGGGGAAAACACAAATAAATTTCCGCAGTTCCCAACACCAGCACCTCCGGGAATCGCTCTGGGCATTCATCCACCCACCTGAGCATCCCCTGGCACGAGGCTCCGGGGGCTTCGGGGGGGGTCTGTTCAATTTTTTTCTATTCCAAATATCCTATTTATTTTTTTTCTATTCTTAATATTATTTTTTAAATATTTTTATTTTTTATTATTATTTTTTTAATGCATCTTGCAAGAAACCGCCGAGGAAGATGCGTTTATCCCCCCCCCACCCCCCCCAGGCATTGAATTAACGGGAATTGCTTTTGCGTTGGTGGACAAAAGCTCCGAGTTTGGGGTGGTTTCGCATTAATTTTGGGAAAAGCTGGGAACGGGGATTTTTGGCGTCGGGTTCAGGACCCGGGAGGAGGATGCTGGGGGGGTGGGGGGGGGTCGGGGGGGGGGGGGGGCTCGGCTCGCGCCGCTCCTTATATGGCCGGGAGCCGGAGCGCGCGCTGATTGGCTGAGGGGAGGCAGAGGCCGGGGGGGGGGGCCAGGGAGGAGGCTGGGGGGGGAGGCCGGGGGGAGGCCGGGGGAGGAGGGGGGGAGGCTGAGGGGGTGGGGGGGGAGGATGGGGCAGGGGAGGTCAGAGCAGGTGGAGGTCGGAGCAGGTGGAGGTTGGGGCAGGTGAAGGTTGGGGCAGGAGGAGGCTGGGGCAGGAGGAGGTGAAGGTTGGAGCAGGTGGAGGTCGGAGCAGGTGAAGGCTGGGGCAGGTGGGGTGAAGGATGGGGCAGGTGAAGGCCAGAGCGGGTGGAGGCTGGGGCAGGTGAAGGTTGGGAGGAGGAGGTGAAGGTTGAAGCAGGTGGAGGTCAGAGGAGGTGGGGGTGAAGGATGGGGCAGGTGGAGGCTGGAGCATGTGGAGGGCAGGAGCAGGTGAAGGCCGGAGCAGGTGAAGGCTGGAGCAGGTAAAGGCTGGGGCAGGAGGAGGTAGAGGCTGGAGCAGGTGAAGGCTGGAGCAGATTGAAGCCTTGGACAGGAGGAGGTGAAGGTCGGAGCAGGTGAAGGTGAAGGCCAGAACAGGTGGAGGCTGGAGTAGGTGGAGGTGAAGGAGGAGGTTGAGGTGAAGGCTGGAGCAGGTGGAGGCTGGGGCAGATGGAGCTGAAGGCTGGAAATCAGAGAAGAGCCATTGCAACAACCCTCCGGTTCACCCCAACCTTAATTTTTGGCGTTCTTCTTAACTCTTCCAGCTCCCACGGCCACGCCACCGCGATTCCCCCGGAGGCGGAGGCAGCAGCAGGCTGAGATCAAAACCACGGGAGGGGGTTTGTGAAGCGGGTCCGGCATGGCACGGCCTCGCTGCCCAAGCAGAAGATTTGGGTTTATAAATCGGTGCAGATTGGGGCGATTTGTGCATCTCTAACGGGATTTGTGGAGCCACGGCAGGGTTAATAAAAACGAGGCTGAGATTTATAAACTGAGAGCAGGGTTTGCAAATCCATCAGTGGGGGTGGAAATCCTACAGGCCAACTCCTACAGCTGCTGAAGGTTTTTAGTCTCCATCTGATTTTTAAGAGTGATTTCTTGAAGCCAGTCTGCAAGAGCTGCCATGTGTAGGTGAGGTTGTTGAAATGTGAACCAAGAAATAGGACATTTCTTGGGGTTTAAGAGCAAGCCTAGAAAGGATGGAAACTGGAAGAGTTTAAATGCATTTTTTTTGTGCATCTTAAATCTAGTTTTCCAACCTGTTTTTCCTATCTTAGCCTGGACGCTTGCTTCCTGCAGACCACCAGTTACTGCTGAGGAGGCTGCAGGGAGCCAAGGTTGGTTTTCGGTTGCCAACAGCTAGCACTGGAGTGATTTTGTAGATCACGTTCAGATTCAATCCCCAAGGATGGGATGGGATGGAACGGACAGGATAGGACAGGATGGGATGGGATGGGATGGGATGGGATGGAGCAGTTCATTTGGAAGGGACCTACAAACACCACCAAGTCCAGGTGCCTTAAGCCTGCTGCAGGAATCATCTGGTATCCAGCCAGGGACCTGTAAGCAGGGAAAGAACCCAAATCTTGGCCGTTGCATCCTGCGGGGTGTTACTGTATATTTAGAGGACGCGTAGGAGGGAGCTGTGCGATTCCAGGAGCTGCAGAGCATCCACGCCACGAGCTTGGGCAGCGCGTGTGCGATGAGCTGCTGGGGTGGCAAAAAGCTCTGCTGCTGCGGACCTGGCCGTGGCAAAGGATGCTGCTTCCTCCAGGCAGCCCGTCCTGAGCCTCCCCTGCCTGCTGGCCTCCGGGGACGAGGCTTTGGTGGGAGCCTGGGAGGGAAAGGAGCTCGCTGCCCTCTTCCAGCCCAGCCCAGCTCTCCATCGATGGTTTGGGGTGGAAATGCTGGGGGTCCCAGCCCGCTGGTAACCTCCCTTGTCCCCATCACAGCGTTGTGGGGTGGGTGAGGTTGGCAGGGAGCTCAAAACCCACCTGGTTCCTGCCCACAGCCCCATGCAGCCTGGCCTTGGGTCCCCCCCACAGGGAAGGGGCACCTCCAGCTCCTCGCCACCCTCCTGGGGAAAGATTTCTTCCTGATACCTGACCCAAACCCCAAACCTGCCTCTGGGGGTACCTGGCTGGGGATGCTGGCAGTGGCAGCAGGTCGTGGCCAAGGGCTGCTGTGGAGCTGACAGGGTCTGAGCGCTGCCCTCGCCCTGTGTGAGCAGCACCCGATGCTCGGTGCCAGCGCCACCCGTCCCAGCAGGTCACTGGCACGGCACCTCCATCGAGAAAAGAGCTCATCGTGGGGCAATCTGGTTCATCAGCATGAAAATGTGCTCAGTATTAGTCCTGGAAACATCACGTGGTGGTTCTGGTTATGCAAAATCTATTAAGAAAGAGTTCTTTTTTTTTTTTTTAGTTTTCCTTTAATTTAAAAAAATTCTTTTCATCACAGCCTTAAAATCAATCAAAGTAAACAGAGCTGCAGCAGACTGGAACAAAGTCCCAGAGTCTGTACATATGGAAGGTTTAATTGACATAAAAATCAGTGCAGATTGGTTCCAAAAGCAACAACCCATTCCACTCCCCCCTCCCAAATCCCCTTTGTAAGAAGAGGAAAGGAGAAACTGAAATACAAGTCAGAGAGGAAAAGAATTGATAGATCAAGCAACAACAAAATCAGGTCTGTAAATATTCTATTGAGCAGTCGCAGCAAAAAAAATAGCACCTTCAAAGCCCCTTTGTACAACAGACGTGGAAACCAAGGCTTTCCGAGGAGTTTGACGAGTTAGAGGCAGGACAAGGCATTTTGCTTATGGGCAGGAATCAGCTCCGCCAACTTCAGCTGCTTGGGCTTGTGTGCAGCTACTGGGAGGAAATCAACACCCCTGGAAGGTGATTTATCCATCCCAAGATGAGCGTCTGCGATAGTTTAGATTTACTGGCGATACCATTTCTGGGTAAGGATGTGAACTGACTGATGGCAGGGAAAACGAATCCCATCCCCATCGACCCATCTTTTGGTGGCATTTCTGTTCCCAAACCACCGACACGCTCTCAGAGGTGGTGGGGGACCCAAGCCCTTAAATTCCCTTTTTTTTTTTTTTTCCTGGAAACTTGTTTTGCTCTGGGCTGTGCCTAGTTGGGGGATGAAGCCACACGGTTCGTTAGCCATGAGGATTCGTTATTCCGGGGTTTTCCTTCGCTCCCTTGGTTTGCAGACGATTTGACCCCTTTGGGCAGTGGAAGAAGAGTGGTGGAAGAGGAATGCGACCCGGTACCACACAGCAAAGCCAACCTTGGGCAGGTCTGACCGGGTGGGTGTTGAAACGTGCTCCCGATATCTACATTCCCCTGTGCTCAGCTGCTGCTGGAGCTGGGTGATGGATGGAAGCCAAGCGCAGAGGAACTTCGGGTGTCCGAGCAAAGCAGGAGACAGAAAAAGGGGGCGGCCGCAGCCTCGCGCCGCAGCCAGGCGAGCTCCTTGGCGAGGGCTGCCCTCATCGTGGCGGCCTTCAGACGTCTCCTGCAACCCATGGCAGTGGCATCCCTGCAAACTGCGTGGCTGCTGTGAGGAGAAGCCGCTTGGAGGACGTCCGTGCAACCCGGAGCCTTTGGTGGGTGCCAAGCACCCGGCCCCGCTGGCGGCTCCTCGTGGGCCGGAGCTCGTGATGTCCAGAAGAGGAAGGGGCTGGCCACCACCACCTCCCTGCTCTGCCCACGCCGCTGTCCTTTAAGGCCAAACCAACCTTCCAGCAAATAACTAAAACCCGTGAGTCCCTGAGATCCTTTGCCAGAAGGCCGGGAGTTGGGCCTGGGCTGGGCTGGGGCGCAGTGCCCCGGCCCTCCAGCAGCACCGGGACCAAAAGCAGGCCCTGCCGGGGGGGGGACACCGGGCTCAGGCCGATGGCCAGTGCCCACCCAGCTCTGTCGAGGCCACAGAGGAGCCTTGAGGCCGGGCAAGGTCAGGGGCAGCCTTCCTGCTGCTGCTTCCTTCGGCCAGCACAGCGCGGCCTCCCAGAGCCTGCATCTCCAGGCCTCGGCCTCCTCATGTTTTACAGCTCCATTACCGGTCCCTAAAATCTCCCCTTTTCTTGCCCCCAGCTCTGCAAAGTCCCCGCTCCCTTCTTGCTGATGCCTTTTGTCGGCTGTGGGCTCTTGGAGCTCGGGTGCAAACAGCTCCCAGCCCTCTGGAAATCATTCAGGGGTTGTTCCGGGGGGAGGACAGGAGGCTGGGGGCTTCTGGCCAGCCCCTTCTGCTCTCAGGACAGGCAGACGAGGGAGAAAATCCCAGAAGTGCAGAGCCTTCAAGTTTTCTGGGAGGCTGCAGCCAGAGCAAGGAGACAGAGCCCCCAGGGTGGTCCCCATGGGTGTGCAAGGAGGGTTGGGGGGGGGGATGGTGCCATTTATTGGAGCCCCCTGAGTCCGACTGAACCGGGAAGGGGCCGGGGTCCCTGCTCCTTTGTGCATGAAGCATGGAGACATGGGGGAGATGGAGCAGGGGGCAGTTTTTCTCTAAGTTTTCTCTTCCTGCCTTTTTTTTTTGCTGTGTTTGGAGGGACAGGAGCACACGTAAGAGGAGAGCTGGGGGGAGTTTCCCTACAAAAGAGCCAAGGAAAGCTGTTTCCTATTGAAAAAGCCAGTAAATAGGTGCAAGCTTCTTTAACAGGAGCCCGCAGCAGGCTCGGGGCAGGTTCCTCAGCACGCTGCAGCTGTGCGGGAAGAAGGGAAGGCAGATTCGGGGAAGGGGATTTGGCAAAAAGTCTTAAATAATGCTCAAAGTTTGAACACCTGAGAAACAAGCGTGTGGCTGGGAGCCTCGGGGACACCGCGTCGCTGTGTGTGCCACGCAAGCGGGACCCCGAGGTGCGGTCCCGGGGGGGGGATTTCAACAAAATCAGACCTCGGTGGGCACCTCGCAGCCTGGTGGGCACCACAGCCCCTGCCCTGCGTCGCCCTCTGAGTGGGGAGTGAGGCTGGAGGAGCTCTGGAGGCTGGGCTGCAGAAGGGAAGGGAGGCAGAGGTGGTGGGGGAGCAGGCGGGCGGTTTTCTTGCTTTCCCCAAGAGTCCCGGGTCCCTCCGAGAGCCCCCACTGGGATGAGGAGGAGGAAGGAGGCCGTGCTGAGAGCGCCGAACCCTCGGATCCACCACTTTGTTGGCAATGCTTTCCCTTGTAAACGCTTGCATAATGCTGGGGATGACAGCTGAAAGGGAAGAAAGTCAGAAATCAAAACGAAAGGCCTTTGGAAATGTCCCTGAAGGAGAAGTTGGGAGCGATTTTCCGGAATAAAAGCCTGGAAATTTCCTTTTTGAAAGGGCGTTTCACAGCTCAACACCTCAATCCCTGACTTGGGCACGCACCGGAGTCAAACCGTGGTCAGCACTTGCATGGCACCAGCTCCTGTTTGCACCTACAGCTGCTCCTGCACCATCTCTTCCAGGTATTTGTCTTTCAGGTATTTTCAGCAGCTCTGGGCTGCTCACCAGCCCTCCAACGGGCAGGGACCTGGGGCTCTTCCCTGCCTTCTTCGGTGACACCAGGCACGGTGCTGCAGGTGGATGTGGGGCTGAGCCTGGAGGACGGGCTCCAAACGCTGAGGTTCCCCTGGCTCAGGCACATGAAGGGATCTTGCTCTTAAGTATTAAGAAACTCTTAATTCACAATTTCATTCACCTGGGGACATCTGAGCTCCCTGAAAAAAAAATCGCCACCCAGAGCAGCTCCGAGGGGCTTTTTGGAAGGAGCAGCGACGCTGGGGACAACGGGGAGCTTCTCAGGGTGTCACCCCAGTGTCTTGTGCTTCGGGTGGGCTCCCGAACCCTCCTGACTCCAAAACACCTACTGGAATCCTTTGCAGAACTTTTTTTTGTGGCTTGAAGGCTCTTTGTTATCAGTATTATTATTGAAAAAAAGCAAAATTTCTACCCCCTCTGGGTTTGCTCGCTGGGGGCTGCACTCAAGGTGCAGCAGCACGGAGTGGCTGGCATGTTTTCCATGCACGTGCCATTCTTGCTCCTAATTGGCTTTTTGTCTCTAATCCCACAAGTCGGGTTGACAGGGGAGAACTTTGAAAATTTTAAAATAATTGGAAAAAAAATAAAAAGAATAAAAAGGGCGCAGAATTACAGCCCATTTGGGAGAAGGGGTGGGGGATCTTTCTACCCTTTCTCTTTGCAGTGGGAGGCGCTTGGTAAAACAAAATGTTTTATTTTGACTTGGAGCAATTATTAAGGGAAAACTATTTTTTTTTTAATAATACAAAAATATTCCCAAGTGAAAAATAGAGATTTTATACTCTGAAAAGTCTTTTTTCTTCTTCTTTTTTTTTTTCTTTTCCTTCATAAGACGCTCCCTTTCCCTGGGCCCTGCCAGAAATGATGCTTCCCAACAGGAGCAAATTCTGAAAGAAAGTTCAGCTTTGGCAACAACGAACCTTCCCTAAATCAGCCCCATCATCTCCTCCAAACCTCGTTTTAGTTACAAGGAAAAAGGCGTGCACGGGCTGGGCCAAAAAGCTGCTATCATCCCATCGCTCTGCCCCCGTGCAAAGCCTCCTGTGGGGAGCAGGGTGCAGGGGACGGCCAGGAGGATCCAGCCCCAAAACTTTGTCGAGGCAGAACCGAAACACGCTTGTTGACTTCACAAAACAGGGATGTGTTTTGGGTGACCTCAGTGCCTCTGGAACTGCTCAGGCTCTGTTAATCAGCCGATTTCTGTGTTAACGTGGTGCTGAGGAAAGACCAGGGGTGTTCCCATCCTCGCTCGTGGCACCTGCACGTCCCTGCGCAATTCACACCGCCGGGCTTTTGGAATAGCTTTCCTACTTTGAAAACAAGGCTAGTGTTAATGCTGAGCGTCACACCTGGAAATTATTTGCATATTTTTCTTGTTCTCTTGATCAAAGAGCTGAGCGGGAAGGGTTTTATCGGAGTGGCTCACGTGCGTTCCCTTTTAGTCTCTTCTAGGGATTATGCTTTTTCCTCTGATGTACCCAGACAGATCCTTCGAGTGATACCAAAGGTGAGGAAAGATGCTAGAACAGAAGTGCTGGATGGGTGAGATGTGTTCCCCCGGCCTGCAGCAGCGTGGGCTCAGCAGCAGAGCGTGACCACGCCGGTGTTGCCATCCCAAAACCATCCTTCGGTGACGGGCCAAGAGCTGTGCCAGAGCCGGGAGCGAGCAAGAGCTTGGCGCGAGGCTGGGTTTGAAGCCTGTCCGTAATGAGACCTTCAGGAACCCGGTGCCAGGAGTAACGATTCTGATGGGAAGGTGGGAGGAGGAGCAATGGGAACCAAGCAGAAATGTTTTCCTCACAGCGCTGGCGTCTGCTTCAGCAGCACGGCCCTGGGGAGCGGAGCACAAGCGACGGGAGCCGGGCTCCTGTCCCAGGGAGCCCGGGGTTAAAAGAAAATAGACAACACCGACTGCAGCCAGGAAATAACTCTCTTGGTTTTAATATTTTCAGGGGTTATTTGCAATGTAGGCAAGGGAATTGGATTTCTTTAAAAAAAAAAATAATAAAATAACGATTGGATGTTATCACATTGGTGTACTCTGAGCCCTGCGAGACATCCTGACATCCACCTCGTGCCCTTCTGCGTAACGGCATGCGAGCTGAGCCCCGTGGAGCAAAGCTCTCACCTCGGTGGGTCTGATCCTGACCCCAGGGAGCAGCAGGGACGACCCCCTGCCGCCCCACCGAGCGAGATTCAAACCCACCAAAACTCCCTTTGGCTCTCGGTTTCCGGCTGCCGCTTGCACGCAACCCTGATTTTTCCATTTCCCCTCAGCTCAAAGAAAAGAGGAAAAATAAAAATAAAAAAAAAAATAAAAAGAAGAAATGAAAATGAAAAAGCCAGCAAACAACCCCGCCAAACAACCCGCACGGGCTGTCGGGTAGATTCAAGGCTTTCATCCTCTATTTGCACAGAAAGGAAGACGTGGAGCCGCTCACTCCCATCGCACGGGGCTGGGGGGGGGGTCTGTAAAGCATCGCCGGAGCCAGGGCTGGTTTGGGCACGGATTGCATACCTGCTGCCCTCCCTTTGGAGGGCTGAAAAATGTACCACGAGACGAGCAGCCGCCGACCCCGGAGTTCACAGCGGGACCGTGCCCGGACGGGAGCCTCGCGGCTGCAGTCCAGCCCGCGCCGCCGCCGGCTCGCGGGAAACCTGAGGTCAGCCGGAGCTTCACGAGCATCTCCGAGACAGTTCCTGGGTGCTGGGGGACTTGCAAGCATTGGCTGGGACGGACACCTTTTGTTTGTCATTTATTTCCGAGAGGACAGTGAGGGAGCAAGACAAGACTCCTGGTCAAGGAGCTGCGGTGCAGGATACAGCTCGGTTTGGAGAGCAGCAAAGCCAGGGCTTGTACAGCGCAAGAGCATCCGTCCCCATCGTTACGCACGTGCTGCTCCAGGCATGCAGGGGCATTTTGTAGGAGCTGGTGCTTTCTGCCGTCCTCCAAGCATGACAGAAGCTGGGGGCCTGCGGTGCAAAGGGTGCTTTTTAAAATAGGAGGTATAAACTGCAACTGAATTTATTGGAGCACGGGGTCATTTCACCGGGAGGGAAGGGAGGAGGGGTGATGGAGGAGAGGAAAGGTTCAAGCTTTGAGAAGTAAACTCAGGTGAGAACAGGCACCTTTTCACTCTTTCAAACACTGAAAATTATAATAATTAAAAAAAAAGAAAAGAAAAAGAAAAAAGACCAAACGGCCGCCCTCCCGTGTCCCTCCCTCCCCATCCCAAGGCTTGCCTTCACATCATGCTCTTCCTGTAGTGGGCCTGTGAGCTCTGTTTGGGCTTTGAGTCCGACTGCTGCAGTTCGAACTGTTTGTACAGGTCCCTCAGCTCCCGGATCTCCTGCAGCACCCTCTTGGCCTGGCTCCAGGTGGAGGAAGCCTCCCCCAGCAGCCTCTCGGATTCCTGCAGGATCCTCTCAGAGTCCGACTTGGAAGACGAGGAGGAGGAAGAGGTGGTGGTGCTGGTGCTGGTGTTGGAGTCCTTGGCCTTCCTCTTGCCCTCCCCGTAGCCCTTCACCTCCGTCAGCAGTTCCTGAGTTTTTTCCAGTTTCAGTGCAACCAGTTCTTGTATCCGGGACAGCTGCTCCGGCTCCGCGGAGGCAAACTGCGCCTCCAGCCCCCTCCTCAGCACCGCCCGGTGCGCGGAGGAGTCCCGCCGGGACAGGATTTCTTCCATGGAGGCACATTTATTCTTTTCCGAGTGCGAGAGCTTTTTGGGGACCTGCGGGGTGTACATGGTCCCTTTGTCAAAGGAGTCATTGCGCGGCGCGGACCTGTCCCACGAGGTCACCTCCCGCCTCGGGAGGCTCCCAGTCCGGCCCTTCTCCGGCGCTTTGACATTCTCCGAATCCGAGCGGCGCCGGCCGGCGGCGAGATGTGCCACCGACTTGTCCAGGTCCACCCGAAAACTCTCTTCGCAGGTGCCGTGGTCCTCCGGGGAGGCGTCCTCCTCCTGGATCAGGTCGAGGGTCAGCATGCCATCAGAGGTTGAGGTAGATGCCTGGGGGGGGCAGAGAGGTCTGGGTTAGGCTCGTGTTACCTGGAGAGGCACCGAAACCTCAGGCGTGCGTCCCCTGGGTGTGCAATGATGGAGCAGGGACAACAGCGAGCGTGGGCGAGCGGCAGAGCCCCCGCGTGTGCCAGGTCACTGCTCCTAGCCAGGGCACGGGGTGGACAAACAGTGGGATGTGCCAACGTGGGGACACGGCCCCCAGCCCCAGGGACGCCCCCCAGCAGGACTCCGAAAGAGCATTTTGGTTCCAGCCCCGGTGACACGGGTGTTGGTGACTCTGCCAGACCTACACAACACGATGGAGAGCGCTGCATGACCGGAGGGCTGCTCCTGGCACCCAAGGGGAGCCCCGAGGCTCGTGGCAAGTCGCAGCTCGGGCCAGAGCTCAAGCACCCGCTGATAAATGAAATAGCCACAGGGAATTTTACCTAGCCGGCCTGGGGGTTGCTGTACGTACCACAGCCATCAAATGTCCCCGTGTCGGGGGGCGTCGGGAGTGCTGGATTTTTGCTCTGTCGCGCGTCGGGTGGGCGAGGTAGCTGTCCTCTTCGACAGTCACCTACAGTGGTGGCAAAGCCCGGTGAGGACCTGGGTTTTCGGGAAACCCAACGCTTCCGACGAGGGGTCAGGTTTGTTGGGGTCCCCAAATCCATCCCCTCTGTGCCCGGAGTCATTCCTGGCAATTCCCAGCTGCAGTGATCGATCGCCTCTCTTCACAGCCAGCCATCCCACTGCCTTGCCGTCCCCATCCCTGCTCTGAAGCTTTTCCTGTGCTATGCCCTAAGTTCCCCTTCCCTACAGGGGTTTGTGTCACCATCAGCGCAGCCCTGAGTGTGGATGGAAGAGGCTGGGGGCTAAAATCATCGGCACGGAGCATTAAAATGTGAGACGGGGCTGAAACGCGGCGAGGGGCACGGCCCCGGCACCAGAGGGCTCGGCAGGATGGAGAGGGACCGAGGTGGGGTGGCAGATGGTGCCCGTGGGCGGCTCTCAGCGGGGGACCGTGTTGGTTTTCAGCTAATTCCTTAATTCAGTGCCACTGCTTAAAGCTCCTTTGCAAACCCAAACGCACGGCGAGGACAGGAAGGAAGCTCTGGGAAGCCCTGAAAAGCTCTGGGAAGCCCTAGGAAGCCCTAGGAAGCCCTCCCCTCCACAATCCCAATCCCTGTGCAAGGCGTGAGGGCTCGCACGGGAATTCTGAGGCGAGGTGGGGTCAAACCACCGGCAGCTCCAGCAGAGCCCACCCTACAGGCAGCCAAAAAGCATCACCCAAAATATTACAGCTGAGACATCGGCGTCCCGCTCACCTCATCCAAAATGCGGTTCTTAGCACGAGTGATTGCGGAGTTGAGGGCGTTGATCCAGGACTCCTTCTCTTCCGGACTCACAGCCAGGAAGATGAGATTTGGAGCCTACAAAAGAAGGGACTCAGCTCAGAGCCTAAAGCCCTCCAGGGATGCTCACTTCTGGCCTCTGCAGCGTTTTGTTCAATTGTCCCATTGCTCATGTCGCTTGGGGACGGCGCGGCCGCTTCCCATTTTCCCCCTTTCTTCTCCCCGTCTGCCTTGCAGGGTGTTACCCAGCTCCTCCCAAAGCCAGGGACGGCTCAGGACAGAGACCTCCAGGGTCCTTCTCCCAGGCAGCCGTGCCCCCATCCCCGTACTTTTTAGCTTTTTAGGCAGCACTCGTGGGACAAATCCCCCTGTGGCTCTTTGATGCTTCCCTTGGCCACCTTCTCTGTGCGACCCCACAGAGCCCCCGCTCCTCCCCGCAGCTCTTCCACTGCCGCCAGCCCCGCGGTGGGGATCTGTGGGTTTTTAACCTCATTTTGTTCTCCTGCAGAGCTCAGGCCCAGCATCACCCCCAAAATTGCATCGAGCCCCCCAGAGCTCACGGCTTTCCGGGGCTGACCGCGTGCTTGCGTACCGTGTTTCCAGGCTGCCTGGAGTGGGCGAGGGTAAATTTGCTGTGGTTCTTTTTGCTTCTGCTTTTGGACTTCCTGAGCTCTTCACATTTCTCATAATCGCTCAGGTCAAACATTTCCTGCACATTTTTTTCATCTTTTACCTGCAAAACAAAACAGAAACGGCCGCCGGGCGGGTGTCAGCTGGAGCAGGTGCTGACGGACGGGGGGTGCCCGACCTGGGGTGAGCGTCGCCCACCCAGGGCACGAGTGCAGCACTTCTAGCTGGTGCTACGCTCAGTTTTGGGGGAGAAACAGAGCTTTTCAGCATGGTATCATTAACTCGAGTCGGGAGACGTATTTAGAAGGATGACTTGAAAATCAGTCTCCTGGGTTAGCTCCTGCTTTGCTCCAGGATTCCTCCAGGAACCCCAAGCACGTTGCGGTCACTGCGCCACCCCCAAAGTCTCCGCGGGGTGGGCAGGCTCTGCCCGGTGCTTGCGGACCCCCCAACCGAGCAGGATCGGTGCCAGCAGCGTGGAGAGGACCCTGCCTGTGGGAGGAGGTGGCTACGAGGGGTGATCACGTTGGTGCTCGCTGCTTTTCCCGAGACAGCACAGCACCAGCCGGAGGGATGAAGCTTAGCGCTTCCTATTTTTAACCCGGTGGCATTAGCGCAGCCTGACAGCTGATTCGGGGGGCGGGTGAAGCCCACCCAGCCCCGGCCCACGGCCACCAGGAGCGTGCTGCTCCCCAACGAGGGGCTCAGGGCTCAGCGAGGCACCGCCGGGGGCTCGGCCTGGGGTCCCATGGGACATCCGAGGGGGAAGCGAGCGCCGGGGCCGAGGCTCGCTGCCGCAAGCATTTCTCAGTTCTCGTTGCGAAGCCACCTCGCAGCTGCTGCAAGATGTCTCTGCTTCCACATCCATTCCCCTAGCAGCCGTGGGGTGCAGCCTTCCCTTCCACTGCTGTCCTTAGCAAAAGTCGGACCCCCAAACTTGGCTCCAGGCTCTAGGGCGCAGCCCCAAAAGCACCTGATTTCTGCTCAAAGCATCCTCACGACAGCCTACGGGCTGTCGTGACCAGATAGGGAAGTCACTGGCACGTCGCACCCGCTCGTATTCCCTCCCCGTGCGTTTCTAATCGGCTTTCCCCTTGCCGCGGCGCCATCCTGAATCCACCTCTTTCCAAGAATCTTGGCTGAACTCAGCCCCAGCCGTCTGCGGCAGGAGGAGCCGATCCCCCCGAGCCCCGGCTGCGGCAGAAGTCCTTGCTCCAGATGTTTGCTCATGTAGGTCACTGGGACTTCCCCAGCCCTCCCCTCGCGTCTCAGACACCCAGAGCCTGCGCGGCGGAGGCAGGCGAGCCAGACACCTTCCTTCCAGGAGCCCAAACCCTTGCCTCCAGCCCACCTCACCCCTAGGACCACCTACAGGGGTCTGCAGAGCAGTCAGGCTTGTAGGTGGTGGGGGCAAACACCCTTCAGGTGCCACCAGACCGGGGCTGACGTGTGCCAGGGATGTGGCACCGCGCTCGTCCCCACGGCACAGCCGGTGCCCTGCGTGCGCACGGACCTGTGACAAACCCTAAAGGGCTGAGCCCCATCCGTGGGCACTAAAGGGATGGTGTCGGGGTCCAGAACTTTAGTTTTGGGCCAGGTGGGCATGTTCAGCCCCCTGCGGGGGTTTTTGGCTCCGTGCAAGTAAAAAATCCTTTGGGTCCATGTTGGCTCTGCGCTAAGGCGCTTCTCCGCGTGCTGTGCGTGATGTTCCCCTGCTGCTGCTGCTGCAAATATCGCAGCAATCCCACGGCAAACTGGGCAGAATCTGAGCTGCGAGGGGGCTCTCCTCATTTCCACCAGCAGGGCTTTGTCTTGGTGCAGCCATGCAGCACGTGGGGCTCTGGGGGATGTTTTGGAGGAAGGAGCCATGAGCTGGAAGGAGCCGCCGGTGCCCGTCCCCGGCAGCAGGGGGTCCTTTCTCCCCCATGGGTGTGATGTGGGGCAAGCAGACGGGTCTCAAACCTCCCAGACGAGCAGCTCCTGCCCTCTGCTCTGCAGCAAGAGGTTCCCCTCGTGATCCTTTGGTGGGATTCGCCCGAGCAGCTCCCCGCTGCGACGCGGCAGGCTCGGCGCAAATACAGAAGGCTGCAAAAAATCACGAGGCACCGAGCAGAACATATCCATCAGATATTTATGAGTGGCTTGGGGCATAACAAAAAACCTGCCAAGCCCGGCAGCCCAACGCTGGCAGCCCGGGGGCTGGCACCGGCCAGCCTGCACTCCCCGAGCGGAGACGAAAGTTTCACTTCAGCTCTGCCACCCAGCAGAGGGACCGAAATTTCTGCACAGTTCAGCTGAAATTAGGCTATCGCTCGGCTGCCACCTGCTCCATCCCTTGCTCCCCATCATCAGCCTGCGAGAAATTCGGCTCTCGGAGCACCCTGCACCCATGGCCCCACTCCCCAACCCACAGCCACCCCAGCACGGGACTGGGAGCGTTGGTGCCGCCTGTGCCATCGTGCGGGACGGTGCCACCGAGACCTTGTGCCAAAAGTGTCCAAAGTGCAAAGCGTGGAACCGAGCTTGGCCGAGCAGGAGGAGGAGGAAGGTGGGGAGGCAGGAAGGAAGCTTTCAAGGTGCAAGAGGCGAGGAGGGAAGGGGCAGCAGGTCCCAGCTGGCCGAAAGCCGAAGCCTCCCTGCGGGCACGAGCGGCACCGGCACGGGAGCAGCACCTGCACCGGGGCAGCACCGGCGCTTTGCAGCCGTGGCGTGCACAGGAACCATGCACAGGAACCCCAGGCACTGCTCTGCACACACACACGCACGCCCTTGCACACCCACGTGTGTGCACACATCCCTGCCAGGCGCCGGGCGTTTGGCGGTGCCGTAGCGAGCGGGGAGCGAGAGCAGGCGACTTTTCAAGTGCTCTCGTGCTAATTGAGTCGCCGCCGTTGGTAGCAAACAAGAAAAGGCTGAAGGAAGCCCCGAGAAGCATTTCCTCATTAACATCTCGTCATCGCGGGGCCGTTCATGCTGTCTGGACAGCCCTGGGCTTCCTGGCAGGAAGTGGCAGGAGCCCAGCTGTGTGTCTGTGGCGGTCTGGCTGCAATTCCCAAGCGCGGAGCAGTAACAAAGCCACGCTACAAACAGGAGAACAATTACCAGAAATTTGGGGGGCTGGGGGGGAGGCGAAGGGAGCCGGTGTGGAGGGGGAAGAACGCAGAAATAGTTTGAAGGAGGTTTTGCTTCGCAGAGAGCCGCTCGCTTCAGCACATCTTGCCGCGCGTGTTGCTGCCCTGAATGGTGGTTTTTTGTTTTTTTTTTTTTTTGGCTGATGACCAAATGCTAAATAATGAAGGGATTTTTTGCCTAAGTTCACCGAGTTCGGCTGGCGGAGCTGAGCGCAGGCTCCCGGCCCTGACTGCGGGCTGCAAGCCCCAGCTCCCATTTCGGTGCGTGCTTGGAAGGGCGAAAGGCTGGGGCTGGGAGGGCAGGTTCACAGCCTCCAGCTGATGCCCGAATGCCAGAGCACAGCTCAGAGCCCTGCCCGCCTTTTCCAGGTGTATCAGCTGGTTAATAAAGCTCGGTTCCTCTCCTTGCAGACCTGGTTTCCACCAGGGAGAAAGCCCAGCCTTTTATCAGCTGTTCCCAGCGCCTCCTAACCAAAATTAATAAATCACAGCCAGCCTCCAAGCATGGGTCCCAGGCAGGCCCCTGGAAAGCACAGGGATTCCCAGCAGGTTCCCATGGGATGCTGGTGGGTTTTTGGCAGCGTGACCCTGCTGCTGGGAGCCTTTGGAAACCTGCCCCTGTCCCTCAGGGCTGAGCTCCGCGTCCTGCACTGACACCTGTGGTGGGGGGCACGACGTCCCCGTCCCCTGCGCCACCGCCCTGCCTTCTGGCAAAAATTCAGGCAAACGTCCCTAAATGTCTGCTTTGAATTCCTCGGCAGAGCTGAGGGCAGCATTTGACCCCCTTCTGCCTGTACCGCGAGCAACGCGCCCGCTGGTCCGCAGCAGCTGCTGAGCTTAAGAGGAGCTGACAAGAAACACCGAGGTTAATGCTGGAGTTAGCTCCTGCGCTCCAGCCACCACATCCACCTTGCTCCGCTGGCTTTGATGGAGCGAAAATAATTTAGAGCAGAGGGCTTTGATCTTTTGCTGAAGCAGGCAATGGAGCTTCCTCGCTGAGTTTCCAGCTGCCTAGGGGCCGTTCCCACAAGAGCTTTCTGCCCGTGTCTCCTCGGGGTTCCCACCAGGGTGATTCCCCCCCTTGGCTGTGGCCGGAGCCCCACCAGCAGCGATTCCCGAGCAGGAGAGGCTGCCCCCGGAGCGGAGCCTCCCGCACCGCTCACCAGCACAACCCAGCAGCTGGCTCCATTTTCTCCACTGGGCATAATCTGGCAGTGTGAAAAGCCCAAAGAGGCTCCGTCCTGTTCCACTTAAGTCCCAATTTGTTAAGCCACCGGCAGGAGCCTCAGGCACCTGCTGCCAGGGAAGGGGGCACGGAGGGAGCCTGAGCACCGAGGGACGCGTGGCTTCGCGGAGGGGACAGTGCAGGCACCACGGCGGGTCCCAGAGCGGGTTGGTGTGTGGAGACCTGGCTCTGCCGAGGGTTTGGGGGTTAAAAGTCCCAGCTGCATTGAGCGGGAAGTTTTGGAAATGAGGAGCAGTGGGCAGCCAGAGCAGGCGTGTCCATGCGCACAGCGGACATGTCCACGTACAAACAGACGTGTCCACATGCACACCAGACATATCCATGCACAAACCTGACATATCCATGCACACACACAGTATCCGTGCACACACCTGACACATCCATGCACGCACACACCGGACACCTCCCCGTACACACACACATCCATGTGCAAACCTGAGACATCCACGCACACACACCCCAAACCAGCACCACACGGCAGCAGCCGGAGCCACCTCAGACCCTGAGATCCCCGGAGCAGGGACACGGGTGGGTTTTTCATTCCCACAGGCACACACTTGGGTGCACGTGCACGCAGCCAGATGTTACCTCTGCAACCACATCGCTACACCACCGCGGATTCTTCCATATAAAGACATCGGCAGTCACTGCTGCGCGTTATTTATGGCCTTTCACACACATACCCGCATGCACACAGCTACAGCACTGCTTCAGCTGCACACACGCTGTTTTTTTTTTCCCCGGGAAGAAAGAAATGCACTCGCCCTGAAGCAACCTCAGGTGCACCCCGTGGCCACTCAGCCACCCTGTGCCCGCCGCGACGTGCAGAGCTCAGGGCCGTTAATGAGACGCGGATGGGAGGGACGGACGGACGGACAGACAGCTTCTTCCTGCACATGTTCCCTGGTGGTGATTCCCGTATGAGTGCAGCCTCGCTTGCCCAGGCTTCCCTGCTGCTCAGCCAAGCAGAGCCTTTTGCTCCTGCTTTATTCTCTGCCCTTCAAAGACTCGGGGCACTGGCGGGCGACACCGCCACCCACCCCGGCACAGCCCCTGGCAGCACAGCTGGGCCTTCGGGGTGGCCGGGGCTCTGCAAAATGCTCTCATCTTCCCAGGCATGACCCCGTGTGCTCCCCATCCCGGGGAGGGCCCTTTGGACTCGCTGGCGGGGACTCCTCTCCCCTTTAAGCACAGGCTCCATGTGGCCAGCCCATAACCAGGCTTCCTTCTGCCCCAACATCTGCCTCCACGCCACCTCAGAGCAGGGCCCTGGCATCAGCAAAACTGCTCCCCCAAGCCGGCACAGGATCATGCTGTGGGTGAATCCTTCCCCCTCCTGCTCATCGCCGTGTCCAGCAGGCCCCAAGCTCGGACCCCCTGGCCCCAGAGGTTGCGAGAGCTGCTTGGGGGGAGCCACGCGAGGTGACTGGGCCTGCTGCTGAAAACACATCCCATCCAGCCCTTGTTACTTCTGGAGATGTGCAGGACCGAAGGATTCCTGGCCACAATGCCTGCCTCCTGAACCCGTCTCTCCGCCCAACTTTTCCCAAACCTACACTCTGGTCATGTATTTGGGTGCCTCCAGTCGCTGATCCTTCCCTTGTTTGGGCCCTTCACCCTGCAGCGTTTATCCCCACCTGCGCTTTGCCGTGCCCCGTGACTCAATTTGCCTCTAAATCAAATTATGCATCGTGCTCAGGACCCCGTTATCTCTCCAGATCCTAAATTGGTCCTAAATCGATCAGGCTGGGCCAGGCGGCGTGCCTCAGAGCAGGCCCCAAGCCCTGAACAACAGCCAGACACCAGAGGCAGGGACCCACCAGGCCCTGACCCAAATGGGGTGTTTTTACCCCCCAATTTCCCCACCCTCTCACCCCTCACAGTGAGTTTTTAAGGAGGACTCAGAGGGAGGAGAGCTCTTGCCTGGGGGGTCCCTTCCTGATAAATTGATCGAGACAAAACTAAGGGGGGGCAGCTGTGCGAGGACAGCCGGGGCCCAGCTGCGAGTCACATCCCATTAAATCTCACATAAACCCCACAGCAAGCCCCAGGCCCCAGCCTGGAGCAGGGGCACGCTTCCAGCTGCTGGTGAACCCCTTGAATTTCCCCATTCTTGGGGACAGCAAGCACGAGGACATGGAGAGGTTTGGTAAGGGGGGGGTCCGGTCCCGGCCCCTGGGGGCTGCGGGGGGCTTGGGGCTCGCGGCACTTTTCATGTGCAAAGGGAAGAAGGGGGGGAAGGGAGAGGAAAACGAAACCGAGCCTACCTCCTTCTCCGAGATGTAAAGCTGATCTCCCTTCAAAACCACATAACGGTTCTTCCAGATTTCCCTAAAAATGCCTTTCCCGCAAAATTTCCGCACCCAGCCGACCTTCTCGGGCTGCGCAGACTGCTGGTTTCCATCCTGGTGGCCCTAACACAAAGGGAGAGGGAAGGAAACGGGAAGGAAAAATGGGGTTAATTCGTGCTTTCCTGCTCCCCTTCTCCCCCTCCCTCCTCGCCCAACTTTGCTCCCCGGCCCCTGGCCCCCCACCGCCGCTTGGCCCCATCCCCTCCGCGTGGATTTTCCGGGGCAGCGACAGCGCCGGGGGGGGACACAAGCCCCACGGGCAGGGTTTCACCCCTGCATTATATAAGAAAGGCGCCTGGGTTGCATTCGCCTCCCCCAACATGCATCTGCTGCCGGAAAGAGGAACGAAGAGATTTGCAACTGATTATTTTTATTTATTTTTTACTGCAGTGGAAATCGCGTTTTTTGAGCCTTTCATCAACATTTAGTCCCAGAGGCGAAATCCATGCTCGGGTTTCTGCTTTGAGATTTCTGCCCAGGGGCAGATAAGATCTGTGGGCACGGCAGGCAACACGCAGGCGGCACCGAGCAAAGCGACAGATCGATGGTGTCTGGGTTTTTATCGTTTCCTTGCGAGCAGAAATGAAAACTGCCTGCCCACATCGCTCTGCCCTGAGCGGCGAATTGCATCTCCGGGCAAATCCGAGAGGAAGGAGAGGCGCTGGGCAGCAGAGGAGAAGGAGACGGCGCTGGGTTTGGTTTTGTTTTGATCCGGTTGGGTTTGCTTTTTTTTTTTTCTTCTCGCAAAGCGAGGGGCTGTGGTGGGGACAGGCAGCAGGAGGCGATGAGCCCCCCCCCCCCCTCCCCAAACCATCCAGGAGCCTCCCCCACCCCACCGTGCCCCGGAGCAGAAGCGATCCGAACTCACCCTTTTGGCAGAATTGGTTTTTTTCATCATTCCTCGGTGCGCCGAGCCGGAGGGAGATGGGGAGGGGGTGGGTGGGTGGGGGGGGGGGGGTCGGAGAGGGGCTCCCGGCGGCCTCCTCTTGGGGAGAGCGCGGCTGGGAAATACACAGGGCACCTCCGCTCCCTCCCGCTCCGTCCTCGCCCTCTGTAGATTACAGCCGCTCTCCAGTTACATGAGGACCAGCCCGCCTCTGTAACACATCCTTAGCCGCACAGACACCGCGTCCCCCCCCGGCAGCCAGCTCCACCACCACCATCACTGAGCTCTCGTGGGCTTGCACTGGGCTGGCCTGGGCTCCCGAGCTCCATCTATAGCCGTGCGCGTGTGACGTCTGGGGTTCACAATAAAGGGCGAATCGCAGCCCACGAGGGTTTTCTTCTTTGTTTCTGACTCGCTGCTGATGGGCGGGGGGCACCCCGGCAGACGGGTGCCCAGCCGAGGTCACGGCAAAACTTCCAGGGATGTGGCAAAGCGGCCAGGAGGCACGGGCAGGGGGCTCTGCCCCAACAGCGGCTGAGATTTCGGACGTGTAACCACGGTTTGGGAAAAGAGGCAGCCCCTGGGGGGCTCGGAGAAGGGCCCACTGCCCGGCACCGATACCTGCAGGCAGGGACCTACGTGGTGAGATGTGGGGCACGGCCTCCCAGATCTAAGGAAATGCTTGGCTTAAAAAAAAAAATAAAAAAAAAAAGCCCCTTTTTCTGCTTATTTGTTCTTCCCCGTTTTATTTCAGCAGGTGTTGCAAGTTGAGAACTCCCAGTGGGGGATCACAGACGGGGTTAGAGAGAGGCACATAAAAAAGAACAAAAAAGAGAAAAGGGAGAAACGGTTCTGTTCGGAATGAGGCAGATAAGGAGAAAGAAATAGATCGATCAATCACTGATCCATTGATCAATTGCCGATCGATCGATCTGCTGGTTGCTTCACGGTGAAAATTTTCCATCCGAGCCGTCAGTCTGGCACACGCCCACACTTTGCCGATTGCAGACTGGATTTGAACCCGAGTGCGCTGGAATTAATGCGTGGAGAATACTGATGGTGAACTCGAGCGGGGCCGCTCGGGGCTTTTTTAAGGTGTCGGATGGTGAGCGCGAATAGCGGAGTGTTTTGGGGGCTTGTGAGCGAGGAGCTGGAGGGATGGAGGCGAGCCCTGCTCCCCACCCAAAAGGTGACCACCTACCACCTGGGGGAAGGCTTTCTCCAGCGGGAGAGCTTCATCATGCCCTTGAAATCAAGCGCCGTGCTGGGGGGCTGCTCCCCTCCAGTGCCCTCCCTCGGGATGCTCTGCACAGCCTGGTGTTGGTGGCTGTGGATATATGGATATATGGATTTATGGATATATGGATTTATGGATATATGAGTGGGTTTTGACTTTTTGAACCAATGCGCAGCGCCCTAATGCTCGCAGCGCTGGGTGCACCCGGGTGCCTTCCTACCCCTCTGAGCCCAACTACCTCTTGTTAATTAGAGGGTCCCAACGATTCCCACCCCACTCCCCCATCGACCAAAGCAGTGGAAAAGGGGCTTTGACAAAACACGGAAGGCATCGGGCAGTGCAAACAGCCACGGCCGATGGCCGTCCCTGTGCCGGGAAGTCACCAAACGTCCGCCCATGGCCAAGCACCAGCACGCTCAGCCCAAGGAGGAGGAATTGAGCTGGAGCTGAAATCCTCGGGCTGCTTCGGAAGAGCCGAGGGGCGTAGCTGGCTGCAGGCAGCCCTGTGGCAGTGACTCACGGTGGGAGAGGATGCGACCGCTGATTCAGGGCTGGAAACACCAGCGGCTTGCACGGAAGGAAGGGAGATAGGAGGGAGTCCAGCTCACGTTTCCGTGCCTGAAATGGGCGGCCCCGCTGCTGGCAGCGACCCGGACAGTGCTGATGTGGGGTTCGGAGGGCTGGGGATGGGCTGGCTGTGGCCTCTCTGAGCCAGGGTGGCACATGGCAAGAGGGTGATTCTGCTCGTCCCCATGTCCCCATCGCTGTCCCCATCCTGCCTGCAGCGAGCCCGGGCTGTCCTGCGATGCGCGCTCACAGCAAGGATGGCCTCGTGCCCAGACACGCAGGCAACCAGCCCCCAGTGAAATCCCCGCATCTCACATACCGGAACAGCTGATGGAAGAATTTAGTCCTTTATTAGCTGCTAATGAACTCGACCCATCGTTTAACAGCCTCTGTGTAGACTGGATGCTGGGCCCGTTTGTTTTCCCAGCTTGGCTTTCCAGTAGCGGCGTATTTTTTTTATTTTTTATTTTTGCGATGGAGGCAGGATACATCAAAAACACCCGATAAACATCACCGCAGGAAAAAGCAGCGTGCGGCCCCGAGCTGGAGCGGCCCCTTGGGTGTGAGCAGGCCGGGCAGGAGCAGAAGGGTTCAGATCTCCTGTTAAAAAATGACAATGGCCACTTCTGTAGCACTGTGGTGCTCCGAAGGGTCCGTGCAGTGATCAGGGTCCCGCTGCGGGTGCTGGGTGCTGGGATCCTGCACCGCGGTCTCTCCAGCACCCCCGACTCCTCACTGCTCCAAAAACCGACCCCAAACCCTCACTTTTTGCTTTCTTTTGCATGAGATAAATCCATGGCCCAAGAAACAGCTCCGCAGGGGCCCGCGGCACAGCCCTGCAGCTTTGGGTTTGGTGGCACGGGGCACAAAAACCCCGCTGAGTTCTGCTGGACCTGGAAGGGCAGCTGAAATTAAAACCTTTCCGCCCTCGTGGCTCCGTCCTTCTTGCTGTCCTCAGTCACCCTGCTCGCTCCTCTCAGCCCTGATGTTGCAGCTTTCCCCCCCGACGATGTGTTGATTCCTAACAAACAGCTACCAAAATATCCTCTTGCTGCAAAAGCAGAACAACAAACACCCTCGGTTTATTTATGCACTTAACACCCCCACCTCACGCCCCCCCCCCCCCCCCGCATCATTTTGCCTCTGGATATCAAGTGTGAAACTGCTGCTCAGGAAGACGAAGAGAGTTTAATTAGGGGCACGCGTTTTTCCTTGTTTCTGAGGACAATTACAGCTGTGCTTTTTGGACAGGGTCAGCTCAGGGGGGACGTCGGATTTTGCAGGGTTTGGGGCTCAGGTGGCAGCGAGGTGGCTCCCACAGGGGGCTCCTGGCTCTGCCCACCCCCAGGAAAGGGGACCTGGGGGGGCTGGAAACCACTCGCTGTTGGCCAGGGATTTCGGAGCCGGCTTCAATTCCCCTGGTGCAGCCGGGTCCCGGCACCCATGGGTGCCACTGCTCAGGGTCAGAGGTGCTGGGTGCAGGGGCAGAGCCCAGCACCAGGCAGATAAAGAACCATGCGTGGAGCAAAATGCTTCGCTCCCGAGGTGTTGAAAGTCCTTCTGTTACAAAGAAAGGCTGAGCTGGGAAGAAAAGGGAACTTAATTTTATTCGGGGGGGGGCCAAACTAGTTTGACGTTTGCCAAATGAAGTTTCTCCAAAGTTTTGATTCTGAAAAAAAAAACAACACCCTCCCAACAGTTCAGCCGAACGCGTGAGCAAAGCGGTTCAATGCCACATTTGCATTTTGCGCTGAAAAAAAAAAAAAAAAAAGGGCAGCTTTGGAGCAAAAAATTTCACCCGGACTCAGCATCCTGCGGAGGCATCGCCTCCCTTTCTCCCCAAACCACGGCTTTGCCCTTCGCCTTCCAGCACCTGGGGATGGAGAAGCTCAAGGGGCGTCCTCCCAGCTCCTTCTGGTCCCTGCTCCTCGGGCAGACGCCGGCTGCGGTTCCAGGGCTCTTCCCTTTAGCCCGGAGCCTGCAGGAGCCGTGGTGAGGAGCGGGGCTTTGAATGGCCGAGGCTCCCCCACGTCGCCCCCGCCAGCGCGGAACAATGCGAGCCGAGCCACAGAAAGCCCAGAGCCTCCCACCTCCTACCCAGGGCCCTGCTGGTTCCTTTTCAGCTCGGCGGTTTCTCCATGAGAAAATGCCCTGGGAAAGCGAGTCTTCGGGGCGGGGGGGCTTTTGTTCGTGATGCCCTAGACCCGAGCTGCAGCTTTTCCTTCCCAAGACGTCAGAGGAAGGCCCCTGGGAGCTGCTTCTCCCCCCCATCCGGCGTTGTATGGCCACCAGGAGGCAAATGAATAACCCCACAAAATGATCTTGGGCATCTGGCGGCACGGTGGAAAGCCCCGAAAGAGATGGGGGCAAAACCCAGGGGCTAAGAACCGAGGTGGGGTCGTTGTCACTCCAGTGCCTGACCCCCAAAGAGACCCAGGGAGGACGGGCAGCCCGGGGACGGGTGCTTTGGGATGGACGGGGTGCGTGGCTCCAGCAGGTGCCATAAGGCTGTAGGAACACCGCTGTGGGGTCCCCGGCTCGTAGCGTGCAGTCTGGGGCAGGGGCAGGAGCAAAGGCCCCCCCCCCCAGCTGCTGCCTGCTCATTTTGTACTCATTTTGTGAGCTCGGCGGGGCAGAAAATTGTGGATGGCCGAGGGGAACGCCAAACCCCAGCGCTTCTCCGCGATGTGAGACTCTGGTTTGAAAAGCCCCAAGGGTTTTGTGTCAGGCTTGGGCCAAACCTGCGCTCGCCAGGAAGCCAAAATTGGGGAGATGGCGAAGGAAAAGGCTGAGGAGCAGGATTGACGTGGGAGAGGCCGGTGGAGTCCCAGCCCTCGCGGTACCAGGAGCAAAACTTCCACGGCTGGTGGGAGACGGAGCTGCCCGACGGGAACATCGGAGCCCGCTGGCTAAATAACAGCCGGGGCGTGAATCCTACAGGGAGAGCAGCAAAACGTGTCAGCTTCCGAGAGCGCACGGATGCAGGCGATGAGCTGGAAGCTCTGCCAGCACCCGGCCCGGCGCAAACAAAGCCCCACGGCCCCGAGCGAGGAAGGAAGCGGTCCCTAAGGGTGTGCGTGGGAACCCTGCCCCGTGCCCTGACCCCATCGGTGTCACACCACAGCCCTGATGAGGCTCCCGCACGGAGCATCAAGCCTTCAGCACCACGGGGATGGTTTGGGGTGGATGGGTGCCCGAGCTCGGAGCGATGACCTTGCTTCAGGGAATGAAGCCAGAGAAATGAGTGCGAGTTCAAGCATTTTCCGTCCGCGGCAGCTCTGCAGAGCTCGCAGGGAACGGGAGGTTCAGTCCCGTCCGCTTACGGGAAGGCAGGAGATAAGGGAGAGCCCAGCTCCTTGGCAGCAGACGCTCGCAGGAGCCAGGCAGCCAGGCTGCTGACGTCTGTTCTGCCTCTTAACCTGTGCTGCTCTCGCAGTTCCCGCACCTAAAATAAAAGGAAATTTGGAAAAGAAAAAAAAAAACACAACAAATCCTCCTTGCCTCTCCTGGCTGCGCCCCAGGAGCCCCTGCTGGTCCAGACCCGCACTCGTGATGACAGCACCTCTGCTCCCAGCACTGCTCCAGCAGTGCAATGCTCTGCTTCTTCTCAAACCCACCTTGTTTTTGTACTGCTAGAGTAACTTTTACGAGGGAATCACAACGCTTTTTCAGCTCACAACACGGGAACAAGAAAAGGGGCAGGTTTGTGCTGGTTTAAGGTAACCAGAAGTGAGCAGAGAGCACTGAGGACGTCGTTCTGCCCCCGTGGCACTAGGAGAAACATCGGGAACCATTCACCAGATGAGAGGTTTGGTAAAACGGATCGTTTAATAGGACTCAAAATATACAGACAACTGAGCAGAGCAAAGGTCCTGCAGTGCCCATCACCTTCCAGAGATGCACCGGCCAGCGCCGTGCAGGGCCTCCGGGCTGCTGCAGGGACTTCTCCTGCGGGCCACAACTTGGAGAGGTCCCGAGAGCTGCGGTAGTGAGAGGGCAGCGAGGGGGCTGCAGCTTGGGGCACGCCCCGGTGCGTCACCTCGGATGCCAACGGCAGCATTCGGCAGGGTTCGGGACGGGAATTCCTCCGGGATTCATCGTCTGCTGCTTGGCCTCGGCGGCGCTTGGGAGCTCTCGGTGCTTCGGCCACGGAACCCTGCAGCCGTAACCTCCTCCAGGAAGCTGCCAAGAGAAGTTCAGGTGAGCGGAGGCAACGTTTCGCTCCCGGAGAGCACGGAGAGCAAAGCGCAAAGGTACAGGAGGGCAGCGCCCTGCCCTGGGCACCCAAAGGTGGGCAGCCCAGCACCGGACTCACCGGGCCAGCACCAGCCCTGGGGGGACCCTGAAAGGCTCGGGGAGGTCTCCCCCAAGGCCAGGGCCAACGAGGCTCCCAGGAGGGCTCCCAGGAGGGCTCCCAGGAGGGATCCGCGTGGGCTCAGCCCCCCGCTCACCTCCACTAACAAAGCCAGGAAGGCCGGGCTCGGCTTTCTGCCAGCTCTCAGCCTTCCTGCGGGGTGATAAGGCAGGAAGGGGCAGGGTGGAAGCCTCCTGCTGAGGCATCCTTGGCATTTTGCAGCCAGGGCCCTCCGGAAAGCAGCCCCCGGAGCAGGCTGGGTCACGCTGCGTGCCTCATCACCGGCTCAGCCCTGCAGCAGGGCCCCACAGCAGGACCCTGCCTCCAATTTCTGCCCTACGGACCGCAGGGTTTTAAGGATTGACATCTGAATCTGGCTAATGGAAACCTCTGAGGCACCAACCATTCATTCAGGCAGGTCTCAAGGAAGTTTCAGCTCAGTAAAAGGCTTAAACACACGCTCAGCTTCATGCCAGGCTCCCTGTGATTTCCCAAGGGACCCCAACAGCCATGTCCCAGAGCAACGGTCCCATCGGAAAGCCAAACCCAACACATTTGGGCTTCTCAGCAACCCCTTGGCCCAGTGGAGATCAGCTGCTGGGGGCAGCTGCAGAGGGAAAAAAAGGCTGGGGCAGGCGGGGGGCGGGCGGCAGCTGGCGAAGACGTCCGTGGGTCTGGGCGGTGGGTTCCACATCCTGCCCCAATTCGATACCGAGACACCAAAATGGGAATTTGTGAGCCCGCCCAGAAGCAGCGAGGTTGGAAGAGACCTCCAAGACCACTAAGCCTTGGGAACAAGTTGGCTGACGAGGTCTGGAAGCGGGTTAGGGTTCCGAGGTCCTTTTCAGAAGGAAAGCCCCTCGCCGAGGCACGGCCCCGCAGCCCCCACGGAGGCTCTGCCGAGGACGCAGCCCAGCAGCGTTTGGCACCCGAGCTGCGGGTAAGTGGGTAAGTGGGTCAGGGTAAATATCCCCTCGGGTTAATCCCTGCAGGTTTGTGCTCAACCTGCGCTCCGGATGAGGCGGCCCCAGGCGCCAGATGTTCCTCCGTCGTCACCCTTCGTTTTCGGAGCTCTTCGCGTCCTGCGCCTTGCTGCGAGCGCTCCCAACCCCCAAAAATGCAACTTGGGGTCTTGAAATCCTCTTGGAAAGCTACCGAGAACCCGTGGGTTTCACTCCAGCACGGTTCTGCCCAAATTTACCTGGTTCCTGCACTGAAATTAGAGGCTGCTATGGTCCGGCACCATCCCGAGAACGAACTCTTACATTCACCATAAATAAAACTCAAAAACGTGTTGTTTTTTTTAAACTTGAACAACAATCCTCAATCTTCCAGCCCTTCCGTTACAGCTCCTTACATTACTGGGATAAAACCAGAGAGCTCTACACTCGGTCTGTCGTTTATCAAGTGGTTCTACCCCAACCCAAAGCACAGAAGTGGCATTTTGGCCCTCCAGCACGGGGCACAGCTCTGCATCGAGCCCTCCCTCGGCTCCTCACGCAGGAAAACGCAGCCAGGAAGGTTTCCTTACCTCTCTGAGAAGCCCTAACAGGAGTATTTTCAGGAGGGCTGCCAAAGTTTCACGAGTAACAGCGGCAGCCAGTCTGGCCCGATCAGAAAAACCCTGAAAATTCCTTGACAACACCAGATTTTTTCCACCCCGTTGGCGTTTCTCAAAGCATCTCCGAGCGCTTCCAAACGCGGCTCTGCGTATCCTCCGGGCACTGCAGCGAGAGGGCTGCCTGGTAGTGGGCACGGAGGTAAAAAATAAATGAAAAATTAAGTGAACTGAAAGGGGACAGAACGATGTGCAGCAAACCTGAGCGTGCGCAATGCCAGACGAGGCTCAGAAATTGTCTCATCTTTGCATTTCTGCATTGCTCTGAGTTTCACCTGATTTTTCAGCACTCTGGATGCTTTAATGTGTTTTGTGTTTTTTTTTGTGCTCCCAACTCCTGTTTGCAGCCCCCTGGACAGGACGAGAAGACCCAGGGCACGCTCTGAGCCTTGTCACTGACCGGGCTGCCCCGGGTGATGCCAGGAAAGAGCCCGTGGAGCGGGAGCACTGCGCCGATTTCCCTGCTAGAGGCAGAGGGGGAAGAGAAAAAACACCAATTTTCTCATCTCCTGTAAATCCACGGGGATTTTTTTCCACTAGAGGAATAAACTCCACCAACAGAGCCCGTTGGCTTCCTTAGCCTGACTTCTTTCCAAGGAATCCCTTTGCCTACGTGCCTCATTTCAACACTGTTAAAAGATTCCTGCCCTTATTTTGTGTTCCTAGACACGAATCCAGAACGATCAGCAGCGACAGATTCCCCTTGACATCGCTGCTGAGTGGAAGGGAACTTGAAACGGGTACTTGGAGACCTCTCTGCCAGCACAGAGGGTTGTGTAAGAGCATTTTTAGCCCGGTTTTAAGCCTCTGGGTGCAGCGCAGCCACCGGACGAGGCAGGGTCCCTTACACAAGGGACCTCTCACAACCTCACAGCTCCAACACCACGACCAGCCCCCGAGGCTCGCCCGTCTCCTCAGTCTCCTGCTTCGTCCAAACGCTGGCTGCAGAGCCCTTAAGCCACCCCGCACCCCCCCAGACACAGATGTTGATCACAGTTTGAGTTGGACTGGTCAGAACAATGAAAGCAGGGGATTAGCGTGCTTACACGGGCTGCTCAGCGCATTAATAGAGAAATCTCCTTGTTTATTGTGACATATCAGCCCTAATCCCGCAGCCGTAAGCAACGGCTCATTAAAGGGAGGCTGAAGGATTACTGCAGGAGTTTGGGCGCAATAAAATCGAGGTTTCCTCGCATCAGACACCTCGGTGTGCTGCTGGAACACCCGGGAGCCTCACACTGCTTGAATTGGTGACGGGGAGCTTCTTTTCTCAGCTCGCCCTGCACACAGGAGGCCCTCAAAAAGTGCCCGAGATCCCTGCCAAAGTCCTAGCTGTTTTGTTAGCCCCACCGTGGCTTTTCATTGTTAAGGAAACGTGATTCAAGCCACGAGGGAAAAGGAACTCACCTGAGGCAGGGCTGCTGTCACTACAGGACCCTCGGCAGTCCTCATCCCGCAGCTCCCGGGCAGGACCGTGTAGTGATCAGCCCTCACCAAGCAACAGCCCTTTTTTCCCCTTTTTTTTTCTACCCCGCTTCATTCTTTGAAATGCAAATTCTGATACAGCACCCTCGTTTTCCTGTAAATAATTCAGAGACTGCGCCAAAACGCCGTCACGGGAGAAGCCCTGGCTAGCTAACGTGACTCCTCACAGCACCGAGACGACGGGGAGCCCAGCAGGCAGCTGCAAATCTGGAATTTCATCCAGCCAGGAGCCGCTCGGAGACCTGCTGCTGCAAACAAACCACGAGGAGAGCTGCCCAACGTCACCTCCGGGGTCAGCAGCAGAGCTGGGATGGGAACCCGGAGCCGATCCCCTCCTTCCTCACCCTCCTGCCTCCTTCTCCTAGGTTTTCCCCGTCCCAGTGACAGTTTTTGCTGATTCTGCTACACCGAGACGCTTTCGGGGCAGGTCTCAACCTCCAATCTGGCGTGAAAAGCTACTCTGCCATCCCAGGCAGCTTCGCAGCGCTTACTCCGTCGGTTTTGTTGGCGTTGTGCTCAGCGTGGCGCGACGACGGCGCCATCCAGGTTCTCAGCACAGATGCTGGTAAAAAAAGTTTGATGCGGGCCTGTTGGTAAATGTCAAAATCAGCCTCAAAAGGCATCGGTTACCGCGGACGCAGGGCTGAATACAAACCAGGTTTTATTTTGCATCCTTGCAAGGTTTAAGCTGACTTAATTCCCTTCTTTTCCTAAGTCGAAGAGCAGCTAGTACGTCTGGTGGTCTCTTTTTGTGACTATTTCCAGGCCTGGCTAAAACAGGATTTAGTTCAGAGGCTACTTTGTAAAGCAGAAGGTTGAGGAAGCTGGGTAATTTGGGCAGGAATCGGGCGAGATGTGGGCTAATACAGACTTGCCTTCGTAACCCAGTTCGTAAAAGCAATTTGCTGCTGGGCCAGCACCAGCTCAGGAGCTTTCCAATCATCTGCTAAACCAAAGAAAGGCCCAATTTTGGAGCAGGCGCTGGGAATTTGCAGGGTTTGGGCATTTTTTCCTTAGCAAATGATCGGTCACTGAATTGCCTTGCAGAAGAATTGTTGCTGCATCTGTGCAGGCAGCTTTGGAGCCTGGAGATCCCTCACAGGCATGGAAGGGAAGGGCAAAAGTGCAGAGGGTGTTATAAATACGACCCAGAACCCTAATACAGCAGCAGTGCACACACATGGCCCAAACCCAAGCCGTTTTTTAGCCTACACACCACGCTTGGGTCCACCTGTCAGTAACTGAGATCAAGGAGGTGCCTGGCAAACGCCTGCCTGCCACCCAGAGCCGTGGTGCTGGCAGCGTGCATCCCCGGGGCACTGTGGAGGCTCCCGAAGCTGTCAGCTTGGAGACTTCATCCTAAATGCTGAGAAGAATGACTTTCCCCTCTTCTTTAGGACTCTTTTTGCCTGTTTCCACTCAGGGGACGGTGAAGCCTGTGCTTCCCTCCCAGCCCAGAGCTCCTTTCAGGCTCAGAGCAGCTGCCGGACAACTCGAGGGGCTCGCCCCAGGCTTGGATTCCACCACGCTTCCTGCTGCAACACATGGGGGAGCCGGGGGTCACCTGTCACATTCCCGACGTTCCCCTCCTGCTGATAACAGCCCCACAACGTCAGCACGAGAGGGACGGAGCGGTGCAGCAGGAGGGAGCAGGGCATGTACTAAAATTCGTGGTTCTTTCCTTGGCTAGCAACAAGCTGCGCTGAAAAAAAAACCCCAAGCGGGCTCAATTTTCACCCGTGGTCTCAGATGAATAATTTGGGTTTGGGATTTCCCCAAAAGACCCTGAGATTCCCTTGGGAGCGGCTCGCTCGGTGAAATGGCATCGATGCTGCCTGACACGAGCCCTCCCAGCTGCCCAAACGTTCCGGGGATGGTGACCCAGGAAATCAGCGAAGCTCAGCACGGGCAGGGATTAAGCCCCCACAACGTCTGGCCTCCCAAGAAGGCAACCCGGAGCGTAAAGCGAACCAAGAAGGAAAGCTCCTTTCTCTGGGGAGAAATGGAAAAGGCACAGCCAATGCTCTGCAGGCTCGTGGGCGGCAGAGAGGCAGAGCAGTCGCAGAGCCCGGTTCTAATCATAGGCACAGCGGCTTCGCTGCCATCGCACGCAGTCGCTCCAGATTCCAGCAGAGGCAACGAGACCACAGCCGGGTCTGAATCCTTGTGTGCTGCGCTGCCTCCTCGTTCCTCCTGGGGTGCCTGGTGAATTCTAAGCAGGAGGAACTACACACGTCCACCTCCCTGCCCCCGGATCCAGTAAGGCACATGTTAAACCCTCAGCTTGGTAACATAACGCACGGAGCAGGGCTCGGACCGTTCCCACACGTTTCTGTCTCTTACTGTGCCATAAAGATCCCTCAGGAAGCACAAACCCAGGCCCACGTCGGCAGCTCTGGGTACCCGCTGAGGCCGTTACCTTTTGGTGTTGTGGATGGTGGTGCCCCCCAGCACGATGCGCACCCCCGGGTTGGTGCGGTTCAGGTTGTAGACGGCCAGCGCCTCTTCGTAGGTCGCCCCTCCGATGATGAAGACGATGATGTCCTGGGGCCTGCAACGAAGGCACGAGGGTCAAGGAGCAATCCTGCAGCAGCCAGGGGTGCCGAGGCACCGATCCTGCTGCCTGCTCTCCCCAGGCCATGCCTCGTTTCTGCGGTGCGTCCCCGAGCAGAGCGCAGAACGAGACCCGCACCCTGCACCTCCTGCTCTCGCACAAAGGCTGTGCCTTCCCTGCACCATCCTCCCTCACTGCTCCAGTTTTCTGCTCTCAGAAACCTCAGAGGGGATGATTTCTGCCTGAATCTGCGGTGAAAAGGCCTGGGTGGCATCCTGGCAGCGAGGTTCCATCCACCACTCGAGCCGGAGCGTCTCGCTGCAGGAGGACAAAGTCTCGACACGATTACCTGCCCGCTGCAGCCTCCAAAATGCTCCCTGCTCTCCAAATAGGTGCTTTTATTTGGGTACAGCCACTTGCTGCAGCAACCAAGGCATCAGGCACCCCCCTGCCCTGGGCAAACTCCGGATCAGTGACAAAGCAACCGGAGCACGAGGCAGGGATGGCCCCGGAGCGCACCTGGGCTCCGTGGCTTCGCTTGCTCCCTGCTGAGCCAGCTCCCGTGAGGCAGGGGAGCAGCTCGGAGAGGGAACATCGGGGATTTGGGTCTCAGAAAACAGGGCTATGAAGAGCAGAGCTGCCATCAGCGTCCCCTACGCAGGAACAGGTTGAAATCCCCTGCAGCCTGCAGAGGAGCGGGGTTATATTTAGCAGCCACGCAGGTTCAGGCAGCTCGCGAAGGCAGACGGAGGGTTTCGCACCGCAGCGCCCGTCACCGAGCTGTCCCCAAGGGGACGGAGCAGGGCCCTGCCTCCTCCTCTGAGCTTTGGGAAACCAGACACAAAGAGCTGAGTCTCTGGGGAATGGGACTCCAAGGGAAGGGGAGGCACGGTGAGGGAGTGATCCCACAAGCCGCTGTCGGTTGTCAGAAGTAGACCAAAAATCCTCATGAGCCCAATTTTGTCAGCTCGTGCAGTCCCCAGCGCCATCACTTACAAATTTCGGGTCAAAAGTGTTAAAGACCCGAGGAATTTAGGGGCAGAAGTGGCAGGGCTGGCTGCCACACACTCCTCTGCGATGTCTCAGCACGCCCCAGTCCGGATGTTTGCTGTCACCTTTCAGTGCCACCACATCCACCCTGCAAATCCTTCCCACTCTGTGGTCCCTGAAGCCTGTGCAGGGCTGGTCGCAGCCTTCTGCTAGGGGTCAGGGTCACGTTAATTAGCCTAACGAGATGTTGGAGCGCCACAGGTGAGGGTGAGGCTGTTACAGTCAGTGCCCGGGTTACATCTTGTGCACGGCTTCGTCACCGCGCATCGGCGGCTTCTGTCGTGGCAGAGAACGCTCGGAGGAATAGGAACAGATAAAGTGACACCCAAAAAAAAACCCTACACCCAAAATATCCCAGAGAGGTAGGGCAATGCAGGAGGAAGGACGATCCAAACGTGCCTCGTGGGGGTGAGCTGGTATCTGCGGAGTGAACCGGGAGTGCCTGGGAGGTGCTGTCACAGGCAAGCTCCTGAAGCACCCAGGGAATTGCTGCTTGTCCCAAGGGCAAGGTCGGGAATAGGAAGAAACCCCGGGACTGTTATGGGATGGATTAGTGGGGGAGCGACCTCCAGGAGTGCTCCTCAGCCCCAAGCTCACAGCGGAGCAGTCAGGCATTTCAGAGGGGAGGACAAAGCAACCTCCTCGAGCAAACAGCGACCCAAGCAGAGCTCTGCCTTAAAAAACAACCACAAAACCACCCCGAGCACCAGGTAACGGGTAGGATTAACGGGAGCAGCGCTTCCCCTGGTCCTTAGGGCAGCGCTGTGTGAGCTCAGACACAAAGGCAGCCGGGCACACAGCGCAGGCTGCGAGCTGAGGGCTCCAAAAAAGGAGATTTTGTGCTCGCTGCCCCAGGAGCTGCCTCTGGCCACGTGTCAGCTGCAGGCACTTCCAAGGGGTCAGCCGGTTCCAAATTCTTCCCCTCAGTTCCAAATTCTTCCCCTCCTCGAGCGGGCAAAGAGGAACTTTCCCTTCCAACTGACCCAGCAGGGGCAGGACCCTGGCTTGAGGGCGCAGAATGCCCCGAACGGGATGAGAGCAGCGAGTCCTCGCGTCCCGCACCTGAATTCTGATGGGGTTTTCGGAGCAGGGCTCGCAAGAAGCAGGTGGCTGATGGCAGGACCTTAACGGCAGGACCTTCGGGGCTCTCCGAGGAGCAGCGAGCCCCAGAGGCTGCTGCGGGTCCTTGTTTGGTTTTCTAAACGTGGCAGTGACAGTGACAGAGCTGCCCCGCTTGGTTACGAGCTGGGCTCCGGCCATCTTAGGTAAGCAGGATCGGGGCCAGCTGCTGCGATCCCAAATGCCCTATTAAGAGAAATTCCCAGGCCGAGGCGTAAACGGAGCAAAAGCTCCACCCCAAGGGGAGGCCTGGGCAGAGCTCGGAAGGTCTCACACAGCTCACGAGGTGTTTGGAGGCTTCTGCCCCTGCTCCTGCTGCTCGCTGTGAAGGGGAGAAGCTTTAGGAGGAGCTTTTCCAGCCAGCAATCTCCAGCAGCAAGGCAGAGGGGGGCTGCAGGCTTGTGGCACACCAGGAAGGCTGATATTTACCGCAGCGGGAAGGAAAGGAGGAGCAGAAGCCAGCAGAATTGCTTCTTGCTCTCTCCTCGGAGCTCGGTGCTTTGCAGATTCCCTTTCCTTCGCTGCTGCCAGCTTTCACAGATGAATTTGGGCCACGAGCTCTTCCTCCCTCGCAGGAGCGTTGTGTTCAATGCAGAAAGAAATAGTTAAAAAGAATCCGTTTGCATTCTTTGCTGCTCGAGCCACTGCCTCCCTTGGATCAAAAAACACAAAGCCTTTCGCCCTGCCCTTGGGCTGAACCCCTGCCAGTCGCTGTAACGCCGTCCCCTGCCCGCAGAAAGCCAGGAGAAGGACAGCCCGGCTCGCCTCGGGCTCTGATTCAGTGCACAGAGTTTGGGGAAATTATTAAACGTAAATCCCTTGCTCAACTCCTTTGGCACAAGGGCAAAGCCATAAAGTGGCCCTTTCTCTTCCAACCCTTATAGCTCAAACCCTTTTTTTTCAATGAGACCCCGTTTTTAGGATGTTACCGTTTGGCAGCTCCTTCTCTTTGGGATTTTGTTTTACCAAAGCCACGGGGCTCACGGCAGTCAGCTACGGGACAAGGCTGCAGCTGCTGCGGGAAGGGAGCGAGGTGGAAACTTCATTTCCCTTCTTCGTCCGACTTCTGCTTTGCTTTAGTTCTAGGTAGGAAGCGAACCTTTCCCACGCGCCCCCACAGACGAATTATTTGGGTGCTCTTCGTGGCGGGATTCTCAGGGGTAGGTTCCTGTGCCTTCTTACAAAAACATTTTAGAGGGGAAATCCGAGTGAGACGCAGCTCAGCAGAGTGTAACCGAGCACTGACAGCCAGAAGATAAAGGTCAGAAGACCACTTCCAGCTTAGCTCAGCACCAGCCCAGGTCAGGGATGCGTGGGTGCAGCTTCTGCTGTTCCACCTGCTCCGTGTCAGACCCCATCCCTCAATCCTTTCTGCTGGCCTGAAATCCATCTCAGTCAAGAGCTGGTTTCAAGGAGACGACAGCATTCCTGCTGCCCTCGCTATCACACACTCATTGAAACTGCCCAGCCACCCCGTCCAAAATCCACCATTTCAGTTTTAAAGGTAAAATGTGGAGCGAGGCAGATACCTTCCGGCCTCCCAAGGACATACCCAAACAATTTGTCTCTTCTATGACGAGAATTCATTTTTTTAACTCATAAAGGAGGTGATTTATATCCCCTGCCGTCAGCCTGGCAGGGAATTTGGGAGCTCCCCGTTACAAAACAGATTTTCCCTTTTATCAGAGGGAGGCAAATGTCCCAAGGCAGGGGTAGGGAGGAAGAGCAGCGTGTGTGTGCCTCGGGGAGCCAGCCACGAACGCTCGCTCCCTGACATGCCCTGACCCTCTCACCCCCTCGACATGGCTGAATCTTGGTCCCCAAACCCATTTCTCTGCCCACTCGGTGCCCTCATCTGAGGCCCGTATTTATCCATAATGACTTCACTGACAACAGATGAGCTGAGCTCCAGCAAAGTCAGCTCGAAGCAGGCAGCCAGGGCCCTTTTCAATTTCAGTTATTAGCCACGTTCAGCAAGATCCCATTCCGCTCAGAAATAGTAACTGGCTCAGAAGGGAGAGCTAGCAGTTGGGCTATTTTTGGGACTCTGCAAATAAACGCCAGATGGTATGGAGTGAAGTTAGGGGGCATGCTGAAATCCATCATGTGAACATCCCGGCAGCGTGGTGCAGTGGCATTATCCCTTACCTAAGCTCTTACAAGAGGAATGTCAGGTCTTGATGACTCGGCCAGTGCTGAACACGAAGAAAGGAAGCCTTATGTCTGTCTTTACAGCCCTCCCCAGCACCTACCTGAGAGCACAGCCACCACCTACACCATCAGGACATTTCTTTGACAAGCCCAAGGTGTTTTTTTCACCCAGGGACAAACCACAAAGCAGGTGGCAGCAGCAGGAGGAGCAGGCGTGCTCCAGTTCCCCAGCTCTGCCCTACAAGGCCCCACATACCTGTCCCGGAGAGTGTTGGGCCCCAGGTAGGGGAACTGGCTGTCCTTGAGTTTCCCTTTGATGAGCTGGTCTAGCGTTTCTTGCAGGAGAGGCTGGTGCTGGGTATACACATTCTCAACGCCCTGCAGCGCAGAAGAAGCTCTTGTCAGGAATTAACACAGCGAGGCAGCAGGCTGAGATGATCAGCAAAGCCACGTTCAAAAAGCCCCAGCATTTATCTGATGGATACAGCAAGTGTTAGCCGTTGAGTCGAGGTTTAGGGGGGCTTTTCTGCAACCAACTCCCATCATCTACATGAGAATTCTGCCCTAATGCTCCCTGCACTTACTATTAAACGCTGAAAGCCACACCACGTGGCGCTGCAGCCCGTGAGAGTCCTGCCCTGTGGCTGTGATTCTGACTACAGCTGTTGTTATCTCACCCGTGGCAGAGCCGTACCTTCAGACCTTTGAGGAACTGCTTGGTGATGGCCACAGCGTCCTTGGGACTGAACAGGTCGCTGCCCCGCACCCGTTTCCCTCCGTACTCCACAACAGCAGACACCAGCTGTGCAGAGAGAGGCAAAACCAGAATCTTTTTAACACAGGGAAGCTGTTTCCAGGCAGTTACTGTCCACTCAGCACTCAGAAGAGACGCATTCCCCCTCTCCAACAAGAGCCCCAGCGCCGTGACGCTGCCTGCACAAGGAGAGGGGCTGTCGTTCCCGCAGCCTTTTGCAGGGCGAGCAGATCCTCCACGCGAGGTGACATCATTCTGCTTCTCCACCTCCTCTCCAGCTGCTCTCCGCATTTGCCAGGCGCTGCCACCCTCTCCCTCCCAGCCTGGCTCCTGCTGCGGGCTCAGCACATCCCTGCAGCCACTGCCTCGCCAGCAGGAGCTGGGGGCAGGCAAAAGGAGCACGCACCGGGCTCCGTGTCCATGCCCCACGCTGGTTGTAGCAGCCTCCTGGCATGCTCTGCTTCACCAAAATCCTTTGTAGCATCACTGCTTTTGGAACTGGGAATTAGGGAATCAGCTGTGAAGCAGCACCCGCAGCCCCCAGCTGACCTCCGGGCTCTCTTTGGGGTGGAAAAGCAACAAAAAGAGCGCTGTGCTACGCCGAGACCCCACCACCAGGCACCTTCCCCCGAGGAACACATCCCAAATCTCCCTCCTGCCCCAGCAGAAGGGGAAACGTGGCAGCTACCTTGCGGTATCTGTCTGACACCCCTCTGTTCCTCAGGTCTGTCAGCAGCCCCGGCAGGCTGTTGCTGCTGTGGCGCTCGTAGTGCAGGGCGTAGAGCATCACCAGCCGCGCGGCGTCGAGCTCCGTCACCTTGGGGTTCTGCAGCAGGCGCCGCACGTTCTGCAAGAGAGGGAGAGAGGGAGAGGCCTTTGAAGGACGTGAAATCGGACCGAGAGCGAGCCCACTGCCTAGCAACAACACTGCACGGAGGAGGGACGCGAGGGAATTAAATTGGGAGGAAGGAAGGAACGGAGCCGAGCTTCTGGAGGGCTCTGCAGTCAGGGCGAGCGGAGCACGAGCTGCTTTTGTGGGCCTGGGGATTCGTAACCCGGTCCTGCTGGGTTATTAACTCCCCAAAATGTGCTGCAGGGAGAGCTCAGCTTGGTGTGTGCCCCCCCCTGCAGCAGACACGCGTAGGAATTTCTCATCTCTTCTCCTTCCCAACCTCAGTGAAGCAAAGGCTGGCCCGCAGGTTGACTGCCAAGAGCCAAGAGCACAACTGCAAGGATCTTGGTTTCTTTCGGAAGCTGTGGAGGAGCAGCATCACACTCAGACAGTCTTTGGGTGTGGGAAGCAGAGGGACGAGCACGAAGCGCTTGGAAGCGAAGGAAGGAAGGAATTAAAGCAGGAAAAGGCAAAGCAAAACGACAGCAGCGGAGAGGGAAATACAAAACCCACGGGTATTTCCTTCCAGCACGGAGATTGTTACTTTTCCTGCTGAAGGGAACACGGTGCCATGTTAAATACGAACACGCCCCAAAAAGCTGCCTGTTGAACCACAGACCACTCCCAGGGAAGATGTGGAACCCCCACAGGGACCGTGGGCAGGATATAAAGGCTTGTGTAAGCTGGCAGCTGGCCACAGAAGCACTAGGGCCTCCTCGTTCCAAGAAAAAGGACTTAATTCCTCTCCGCACCCTCTCAGTCACTGGGTAGAGCCTTGGAGCTACGAGAACACACACGAGAGCCAGGCTGGGAGCTTGGGGGAGCAGTGGGAGTGAGAAGCTTCTCAGCTCTGAGCTCGGAGGTGGCTCTGGCAGAAGAGGCGCCGACTGCTGGAGGTGCTCGCGGGCATCTGGTCGGGGCTGGGCAGATGCTTGAGTACACCCCAGAGTCTGAAATTCTCCCTGTGAAAGCAAAACAATCCGCCTGCCCTAGCTCCAACGCAGGGAATTAGAGGAGCTGCCAGTTGTACAGCTGCGTTAGTGGCAGTTCCAAGCGAGGGACGGAACCAGCTAGGATTGTTTCCACCCTAAGCAAACGTGACCTTGAAACGCTCCAAAAAGCCCAGCGTATCTCTGCAGGGCTCTCCCACCCTCCCAGGACAGATAGGCAGCGCGGAAACATCCTGCAAACAGCTGTGAAACAATGTTGGGAAAGCGTTGCCGTTTCCCCAGCTGATTCAGCTCCGCTTGCCGTTATCTGCCCAGAAATAGGGGCTGAAATCCTGGCTTGGGGGAGGATCCCCGAGGCGAAGGGTAAAAACCTTGTTGAGGTCAGGACTTCACCTGTACAGGGAAGGACGGAGTCATCCCATGGAGATGTTGGCTTGCGAGCTTTTTGGCAGCACAGCAGCACTGCCCGTGCCCGCGGGGAGCTCGGGGAACAGAAAAGCTCTTGTCCAGCCTGGGAGGTGGGATCCCAAACCTCCCCTCAAGGCTCCCATACAACGTGGGGATTAATGAGAGCGGGGAAAGAGTAACCAAAACGTCCTGTGCTTGGGGGCCCTGGCTGCCAGAGAAATTAACAATTGCTGAAGTTACGTCAGGGGCAGAACAATCTTGCCTTTATTTCGTGCGCTGCCTTGTTCATTGTGCCCGTGGCCTTGCCCCGGCGCTGCCGTTAGGAGACTGCGACAGGGAACGGGGCAGCTCCAGAGATGCTGATCTCTGTCTCGTGCAGAAAGATCCCAGATCGTTTTTTGCAACTTTGCAGTTATTTTCTAGCCTCTACACGGCTTTCAGTCCCTCTCAGTTGCCAGAAGCACACCAGAGCTCCTCCAGCATGGAGCTGGGAACAAACTTGAGCACTGTGAGAAGGGCAGAAGCACCCATTTCGGGCAGAGCAGCACCCAAACGAGCACCTGGGTGAGCTCCAGCAACCACCCTGCACCTATGAATCAAAAGCCATCGGATCACATCTCTGTGCTCCCAAATCTGGGTGGCTGCAGGGATTTTGATAGGCCTGTCCTGCTTCACACCTGCTCAGGACCTGGCAGTGCCTGAAGAACTGATCTTATCGCTCAGCCACCCACCTGGAGCACGGCGTAACAGCCCGAGAAGACGGGTATCTCACACCCGTTGGAGATGCTCAGCCTTATTTTCCTGTCCGAGTGTTGCTGTGCTGCATAAAGGAGCCCGTTACGCAGCGTATCATCTACCCTAGCCACAAAAAAAATTAAGGAATCGCTTTTTAATACTGAAGCAGTGGCTGAACTCTGCTCTAACACAGCCCCTCTCGACAATGCTGCTATTTTCCCTGACCAGGCAGCAGCCCCGACCTGTCGTTACCGACGTGCTGTCAGATGGGAGGTCAGGTCGTGGAATCCAGCAAGCCAGCACGGGGTCAGACCTCCAGTCTATACCCAGCTATAACAGAAGCCTCTTTTAGGCTTTTGCAGTCCTCTTTGCCAACGAAATCTTTTCTCTAGGAGGCTTTTCACAGTTTTTTATTTTTTAAAGAAAAGTAAAACCTGCCACCTCAAGGAGCAGCCTGGTTTAGGCCACTTTTTGGTTTCCATTTTTCACCCAGTGCTGCTCAGGGGCCAAGCTTTGATTTAGCGGTGCCTGCAGGCAGCCTGCCAGGAGCCAGCTGACTGCATCTAACGCAGGAACGCGGCGTGTGAAATGCAAAGACAATCTGCAGAGATGCTTCTCCAGCCAGTTATTAACTATGATTCATCCTCATCTGAACCGAACGGGGAGGAGAGGAGCAATCCCAACCCCCAGAGCCCCAGCCCTGCGGGATATCTGCACACACCACTCCCCCTGGTTTTCGGTACCAAACCTCCATCAACCGGGGGGGCAACGGGATCAAAGCAGGAAGATTTAAGGTACCTGCAGGGCGCTGGAGTGGTCGTTTTGGCAGGCCAGCTCCTGCTCCACCTCCGACACCTCCAGCAGGTTGCGCTCGGCCACCAGGCGGGAGAGCTCGCCCACCACCGTCACGTGCTTCGACACCGTGCCGGACATCTTCTTGAACTGCGGGTAATTCTCCACAAACGCCTGCAGAGGGGAAAGCAAAGCAATCAATTCTTCAAATAACAGCAAAAACCATCCAGCTCGTCCCTGGGTTGCACGCAGGCACTTATTTGCCTCACCGTAAGCGAGCCTGGTGCCGGTATATGGATGCTCACACCCCTCAAATCCAGAAGCCCCGAAGCTTTCTTCAATTACAAGATGTTTGGCTGCACTTTTGGTTTACTCTTTAAACACAAGGATATGGAAAGTATCTCCAGAGACATTGCCAGGATTCTTTAAATCTTCAGCGGTGACTAAATGAATCAGCCTGTGCTCGGAGCAGCTGCCAGGTGAGCCAGCTCAGCTCTAACCTCCGCACAGCCGTGCTGGGTTAAGCCAGGCACTTAAATGAGGGCTTACAGGTTCAGCTGGGGGGCTGCTGGGTTCCAGCAAGCTCTGAGCAGCAGCTTAGAGAGCAGGCAGAAGGAGCAAGCTCGTAGATCATACTGCAGAACAGCCTGGAGAAGTGTCTGGTCTCCAGTGAGACACTGCTTTGTTACCTTCATATCCGCGATGGATTCCAGCTTCTG